ACATGAATGATTTAGTTAGTGAATATCAACAATATCAAGATGCAACCGCCGAAGGTTAGTATTGAATATTGATTTTGACTTTCTTTAGATTGGTTGTTTGTTTTTTTTGTAGAAGAAGGCGTCGAAGGCGAAGGCGAAGAAGAAGAACATGCTTAAACAATCGTCTCAAAGCTATAGAACTTTGTCATGACAATATCCAATATTTCGGCTTACATTTCTATATATCTTATTGTTCGTTCTTTTGCCTTTTCGTCTTTAGGTGGTTGAGAAAGCGTGCATATATATTGTTCTTGAGAAATATCTTTTTCATTCAACACTCTTAACTCAAAATAAATAAATCTTTTTAAAATAGGCAATTTCTGAATTCTGGAAATCAATAAATGGGTTGCTTTTTTGTGAGGGGGATTGATAGGAGCGTTGAAGAAAAGTATTTTTAGCGAATTGGAAACGATATGTGAAATCGTTCTAATATTATGTTTGCTTGACCATTATTTCTTAACTTTTGAAATTATCGTAATAGACTAAGTTGATCTTCACTTGGAATTGTGAAGTGCAGTGATATATATATATATATACTCTGATATATCTTGCACAGTATAAGTTAAGATATACTAATATTTACCAAGTATTTTTGAAGATAAGCGTTTATAAAGAGTAGCTTTTATTGATGTCTCTTAAGATGTATGCATCTGTTGCATTTTTCTTTCAAAAAAAGATCTTTGGTTAGAAGTTTAATGATTAGCAATAACAGTTGTTTCGTTCTGTTAAAGATAGTAACGTTTATGAATATTTTCTGTTTCTTCCGGACTTCCTTGATTACAATGACTATTGAATCTTTTTAAAGCAATAATCATGGCACTATAATAACAAGCTTATAAAAATATACGATTAGTCATGCAATTCTATTTGTCTACCCCATTCATCAGCTCATGTTTGCCTATTTTTTTTTCTATATTTTTGCTTATGTGCAATGAATAAGTAATTCTGAGTCATCCATATATGTGAGTTGTCGCCCTCCGATAGGCTTTTGTATATGTAAATGCGAACGTTGCATTGTGTAACCAATAAAACAGCGACGTCCACCATTTGTCTGTCTGACTAGAAAGAAAGAACGATAGTTACGAAGTTGTTCGTACTGATGACGGCAAACAGAAGACGCTCTTTTCTATGCTATTTCTCTTATTCTCTTTCTTTTTTCTGTCTTTTTTATTCGTATCTGACTAAACAACGCACCAAGAATTCTCTCTTTACTGATTTATTTGCGTGCATAGCCGTCGGCGGTTGTTTAAAGATTATAATTCTATTCCAATTGCTTATTGTTTCAGATTGTCTAGTAAATCATCTTTAAACTTAATACCAAAATATGCGCGAAATCGTTCACCTTCAAGCTGGTCAATGTGGAAACCAAATTGGTGCTAAAGTAAATAAAATAGCAACGCATTGTTTCATAGTAGATAAATGATATTTTCTTTAGTTTTGGGAAGTAATATCTGATGAACATGGTATCGATCCTACTGGTACATATCATGGCGATTCTGATCTACAACTTGAACGTATCAATGTCTATTATAATGAAGCAGCTGGTAAAATCATTGGCTCACAATAAACATTGC